CCATAAACACCAAGACAGGAAACAATAGTTTTTTGGTTGACGATATATGATACATACCTCTACCGAGTCTTGTACGGAACAGATGTACAACTAAATAACAAAATAAAGCAAGATATTCACAATTTACTTATAATTGTTAAAATTATGCCATTAGAAATTCCTCGAACGTCATTTTGTGATTGAGCATGGTTTAGTAAATAGAAGTCGGATTTTATAAATATGGCTCTCTTCACATAAACTTAAAATACTAAGACACATCACAATGTTGTTTATCATTCTATTTATACATAGTTCAAATTTCCTAAACGGTATAAAGTTATAGCAGTTTTAAATAGACAGTGGATTCTACATCTATCTAATTAGATCACTATACACCACGAATTTTACTGAGTTCTATATGATTACCTTCTAAATTTAATGTTAATGCTTCTCGTCATAATCAGATGTCGATCCAAGACTATTGGTTTAGCCGTGACGACCACAGGTTCAATCGCATAATCGTTTGTAGGTGCAAACTGGAGAAAAAACATATACTTAAACAAAATGAATATTTGAGACTATTTATGAGAAACTGTGTTCAGTTAGCCAGTAACAACGTAGAACTTCGTACGCACGTACATCAGTTCGAGTTGCCACACAACATTAGCACAAAGATACGATTGTCGATTCAAATTCCATAGTGGTAGAGGTAGTAGGAGTATAAGCAGTCATCGGAAACGTTAGGGTTCGAAGATGTTATTCAAGAAGTATAATCCAGTGAAAATAAATTTGGAAAGAGAAAAAAGAAGGGACATGAAGTATTCAGAAGATTTGAATTTGGTAAAACACAAAGAGTAGACGCATCTGCGCCATTGCAAACGATTTTGAGCCATGTCATTCAGGGTCTCTAACGTCCAGGTCGTAAACTAGCCTGGTTTTCTCTAGTCTGCTCTTCACGAGCTTTGGTTAGGCGTCGAAGTATTATTGAAGCTAATATTTTAGACACTATATTAGTCAAACTGATTTCTCTGTGATTGTCGCAAGAGGACTTTTGTCAGTGATTGAAACCAGTCAGATGGGATTATGTCCAGTTCCTAGATTCTACCTAAGACCTCAGTTAATCTCACTGCTAATATTGGACAACCATCCTAGAAAATCTCAGGAGTAAACTTGTCAGAGCCTGCTGCTCTCCCACGCTTCAGATTTCCTATAGCTTTTTCAACTTCGTAAACAGTCGGAGGACCTACACTAACTTGCCATTCAGGTTGACTGGAGATCGTGGGAAATCGAAGTGTGACTGAAAGCCAGTTGAACTGATCCCTAAAGTGTTCTGCCCATCGATTCAATCTCCTGGATTGAGAATGTACAATATTTCAATCTTTCTCTGAGATTGTTTCGCTAACAGTTGGGTTCCTAATACCGGTTTCCTTAACAAGTCTGAACAGTTGTCTGCTATTACCTATTGCCGCTGCCTTTTCCATCTCTCTTGCTTTCGCTACCCACCACTGTTCACGACCGTTGAGTAGGCTTCTTGTCAGCTTGCGCTTAAGCTGACTTCGCTCTTTGTTATGTTCAAAGCCAGATGAGATGAGTTTTCCAGCACCCATCAGTGCGGAAATAAGACACGTGACTCATCACTTCCCCGATATATCTCAGAAACTTCTATTCAACGCTGATTGGACAGTGTTTCCCAGCGACTTCAGAGCCCCTCTGGATTTTATCCAGGAACATTTTGCATCGCCATAACAGTAACAGCAGTAAGTCATGTTTATTTGCTAAAAAACCAATATACATATATTTATTCTTCATTTTTGAGAACTTTCAGTTTCAAGAAAAGTGAAAGTTTGTTAAATCATTGAATACAGTAGCTATATAGAGAGCCGTTTTAAATTCACCTTGTAATCCAAGTCGTATCTGCGTCTATGCTTCGCTTCCCATCTGGACGATATATGCTGTGAATGTTTCGAAGCTACCTATTAATTCAACATCGTGAAAACAATCAGACAAACCTAAGAGTTGTGTCTGCTCAAACACGCGACAGCGCATACTGAAGACGTTCTGTTCAATGATTGAATTTTCGTATGTTTTGTAAGTGAAGTCAATTAATACAATGTCTGCAGTAAAGGGATAATTCTCTCCATTCGATCTTCTGTCACACGAAGGGACCGTGCGCCGTGTTCATAAAAAACGCGTAGTATATCATGATTATGAGTCATTCGTGATTTAATCGCGGTGATAAATCCATCTATCACACGAACATGGGCGAAGGACCGATATCGACAACCAATTGCTCGCCTAACTTATTACATACAGGATATTCGAGGAAACATACCCTCGTGCTGACAATGCCCTTCTGTCCTGAATACATACTTAATATAAAAATCGTCCTCACAGAAATGACTAACCCGAATAACGAAACGATAGAAAGTTTGATTCCCATAAACTGATAGTTGTCTAACTAACTCTTCATCACTTGGAAATCCAACGCCAACAAACATCTATCAAAATATTTTCTGCGCTTCGCTGTTCGATATCGACATGTGAAACACGACAGCGGTAATGAGAATTCTGAAATGCTGCGTTATAGAAATTAACAGTTTTTATTCACCTGAAGCACACTCTCCATTGGACGATTAGAACTAGTTTTTGATGGATCGAAATTGCCTTCTCGTGGCGAGGGTGTTGTTTACGAAATTGAGAGGACGAAAAGCGAATGTCCAGCGCTTTAAACCGGGTTGGTGGACACGGAGAGTCCACTTAGGGGAGTTGGAAAACCCTGATTTCAAACCAATGGTGCACATGGGTTCCTGTATCCTGAGGGAACAAATGGCGTATGAACCAATCGTTGGTCACCAGCTACCACGGGACCGCATCTCCTTACGATGCTCCACTGCCTTGTGGATCAGACCTTTAGGTCGAAGGCTCCGGGTGTGGCCCCCTAGTAAAACCACCTACTTCGGTCTGGGCACCCAGGCAGTATCATAGCTCTCGCACAAATCAAATGAGCTTTGTGTGGCGCATGTGTATTTGATGCCTTCTTGTACCAACATCTATGTGTTTAAATAAATAAACAAATAAATAAATAATGATTGATCAAAGGGTAAGGGAAACAGTGTTACAGGGAAATACAAATTGACACATAGAATAATTTGATTTCCGGAGACGATTCATTAATCCACCAGTACAAAGTCGAATAGTTCAATACTGATTGACAGTCAGCACAACACAAAACAAGAAAAGGGTTCTCTGACTGAAATTGACGGCAAACATATGGTGATTCTCAAGAGGTCGGAAACACTCTAAACTCTGGCGACTTATCAGTGGATCGAAACAGATAAAATAAGAAATTTAGGTGGCCAGTCAGTCAGCTGCAACGTAAGACCAGGCACATATATGCATCGGTCCAAGTTGCCATACCGCATTAGCACAACAAGATGAACACCGGATTCATAGAAGTAGTTAATTCAGTGCTGGTAATATATAGAAGATTGCATATAAGGAGATAGTACAGGAAGATAGAATTAGTTCGTAGAAAGAAAAATATGAAGCGATTTTAATCTCTTAGTTTAAGGGAAGACAAAGAGTGTATACACCTAAGCCATTGTGATCGATTCCGAACCATGTCACACAGAGTCTCCAACCATTGGTTACGATAGTCACGCGGACCTCAACCAAGTAGTCTACATCTACCAACATGGCTCAGACCAGATGTTAGTGTCTTCAAGCACTGATGCCACGTTTTGGTTTGGCCGCCCCTAACTTTCTCCCAATTATCCCTAACACCGGTTAGCATTGCGCGTCGTGGTAATCGGTGTTCAGGCATACGCAACACGTGACCCAACCATCTCAGTCGATGAAGATTCATAACCTCATCAACTGATTTACCATCATTCCCTAATACCCTCCCCGTCCAACCTCACTATTACTTACCCGGTGATCCCAGCAGATGCGAGCAATATTTCTGAGGCATCTGTGGTCAAATACTAGTAACTTACGAGTATCTTCAATTCTTAATGGCCATGCTTCGCAGCCGTATAGTAGAACGGAACGAACTGCCGCGCAGTATACTCGACCCTTAATTGATAGACGGATATCTCGCCTGCGCCATAGGTGACGTAAGTTGGCAAAAGCCAAACGAGGTTTCTGAATCGGTGCAGAGATTTCGTCAGACATCAACTTATTTGGGCTGATCAGATCTCCAAAATAAGTGTTGTCGACACGTTCGACTACTTCACTCCCTATCCTTAGTTCAGGTATTGACGCAGACCAGTCCTGAAGCAACAACTTGCATTTAGAGGTGGGGAACGCATCCCAAACATTCTGGCATTGTTGCTCAGTTCTACCAAAAGACTCTGCATTTTATCAGCGTCTTCACCAAACAGGACTATGTCATCTGCGTATTCTAAGTCCATAAGTGGACCTCCTGGTAGGAGATCAATACCCGGGAATTCAGTCGATGGAAGCATTATTTCCATCAGGAGGTCTATGATAAAGTTAAACAAAAAAGGAGAAAGTGGACAGCCTTGACGGACACCACTTGAGGTTGCGAAATCAGATGACAGTTCGCCATAAGCTCTGACCCGACTAGTAGTGTTCGAGTAAAGAGCCTTCATAAGGTTTATGTACTTCTGAGGTACGCCTTTCAATGACAGACACTGCCACAGAACCTCTCGATCTACAGAGTCAAATGCTGCTTTTAAGTCGAGGAAGACCACTATTGTCGGACGCCGATAAGTATGCCTGTGTTCTAGAACCTGACGAACGGTGAATATGTGGTCTATGCATCCACGACCAGGTCTGAAGCCAGCTTGATTCTCTCATGTTTGCAGTTCACGAGTCTTAGTTAGGCGTCCGAAAATTATCGAGGCTAGTATTTTAGGTACTATATTAGTTAAACTAATCCCTCTATGGTTGTCACAGGATGATTTTGACTCTTTCTTATATATTGGGACGATAAGTGATTGTGACCAGTCAGAGAGGATTATGTCCAACTCCCAGATTTTAGCTAAAATATTCGTCAACCTAGTCGCTAAAATTGGACCACCATCCTTAAAGACCCCTGGAGCCAATCCATCTGGACCAGCTGCCCTTCCTCGTTTTAGATTAACTATAGCCTTTTGAACTTTAGCTAGAGTTGGAGGACTTACTTCAATGTTCCATTCACACTGTCTGGCAATGGAGGGTAGTTGTAGAGTAGCTAAAGACCAGCTGAACTGTTTTCTAAAATGTTCCGCCCATCGTTCTAAACGTCTGGACTGGGGGCAGATGAGTGTCGTTTTTTCCGAAATAGTCTGACTTACACTTGACTTTTTAATTCCAGTTTCTTTTATTAGTCTATAGAGTTGTCTTGTGTTCCCTATAGCTGCCGCCTTTCCCATCTCTTTTGCTTTCGTTGCCCACCACTGCTCAGGTCGTTCCTTAGACTTTTGCTGAACATAGATCTGATTTGTTTACGCTCTTCATCGTGTTTAGAACCTGATGGGATGAGTTTACGAGAACCCATCAGTGCAATAGACCTTGAAGAAATCCATTGGTTCTTTATAACCTTGTGGTTTAAATTATTAGTTGATGTCACTGCTGTTTCCACAGCAGATTGTATATCTTTCCAAGCAACATCTGAGTCAGCTTCGTTTTCAGAACTACCAAAGTGTGACCTCAGTTGTTCCTGGAATTTACTTTCGGCTTTCTCGTCACTCTATTCAATTCTAGTTGGTTCTCTTAATGTGACTTTTCTGCATCCAGTGAGGCGCAAGCAAATGCGTGCTCGTATCAGAGCATGATCGGAGTCTAAACATGTACTTTAGAACGAGCGACAGTCTTCTATGGAGCCCCTGCAACGATGACTTATGGCAATATGGTCTATTTGAGTCCATCGTTGATTTGGTGCAGGCGGTCGCCATGTCAGACGGTGTCCCTCCTTGTGCTTAAAATTTGTGTTTGCTAAAAATAAACGGTTGTCTGATCACAGTTGCAGCAGACGATCACCATTATCTGTTCGCTGTGCCGAAATACTAAAATACCCACCTAAATGTCTTTCTGTTTCGTTTAAGCTACCTACCTGGACATTAAAGTCACCTGCTACGAGTACTATGTCTGAACGTTTAGCTTTCTGAAGAAGTTCAGACAGCTTTCTGTAAAGTTCATCTTTCACTTCATCCGAACTGCAGTCAGTGGGAGCGTAGGCAGAAACGACGAAAAGGCAACGACGTGTGTCCCTATCTTTCCGGGTTCTTACGGAGCCGTTTAGCCGAGCAGCGCATAGACGACTGTTAACGGGGATCCACTCTAATAGCGCTTGTTCCGCCCTCATGCTTAGTGCTATGCCTACACATGCCAGTCCACGAGAACTAGCCATCAGGTCGCCAGGTACACGGAGGGTGTATCTCGTCGGCTCTCCGTCTTGCCGAGGTGAGGTCAAGTGAATGACCACACTAGGATCCTGTATGAGTGTTTCGGAGACACAGCATACATCAATGGTACGAGATTCTAGTGTTTTAGCCAAGGATGCCTGCTGACCGATTTGACATAGTGTGCGTACGTTGAAGGCTCCAATGTGTAGTTTGGAGCGAGGTTTCAGTAAACCTGGGACAGCGTTTGGAGCACTAAAGTCGTTGGCTGTGGTGATACGTGGGGAGGAAACCAAAGGAGGAAGTTTAGGTTTGAAAGTCGATGTAGGAGGAATAATAGGAATTGAAGAGGAAGGTTGATTATGAATACAGTGGTCTTGAGTGCTGTTAGAGGTATGAGGGCGGTTATCACTTCCCGGTCGCCCACACCGTGGAAGGGTTCTTCTGGAGGTACCTGAAAAGGAAATTGGATTAGGGGTGGTCATAGTGACCTGAGGGTGTGACCGCAGTGCCCAAGGGATAGCTGCCTGAGGTCGGTCACACGACCTTTTTATGAGTAGTTTTTGTGTTAGCTCTGTACTTGTTGAGACCTTACCGCTGGAGACGGATATCCGTGGGATAAGGCGAGGTGTGCATTTTTAGGGTCGACCTTTTCTAACCCCACCCCTCCTTGTGGGAAGGCAGCATCGCTGTCATGCTGGTTGTCTGAAGGAAACACCTTACTGCTGTCACACCTCTGTACAGTCAGCAGTACGACTTCGCCTTCGCACCTTGGATTTGTTGCTTTTAGTCTTACCGCTCTTCAACCGACCTGTCTGGCATGGTAGGACCTTGAGGAGCGGTTGTTCCAGCCAGTGTAGCTCAGTTGCTTCATCACGATAGGCAAGCCCGACCACCGGTCAAGGTAGCAACAACGGTTGGGCGGTGGAATCTTAAAATAAGAGATATTATCATTTCAACTATTTGGGTTAATTCAGATTAGTAACCAAAAAATATCAAGATAACCTGTTTTCAATAAAACAATTGTATTTGAAAATTAAGGATATCATACAACTTTCACTGGTTGAAATCATGAATCCATTGAAGCTAGACCACCATGGAAAACCTGGAAGCACTGGACGGCCGTTTCGTCCTAGTATGGGACTCCTCAGCAGCGCGCATCCACGATCCCGCTCCTCGCGAGATTCGAACCCAGGACCTATCAGTCTCGCGCCAGGCGCTTAACCAACTAGACCACTGAGCCGGCATCCAACGGTGTTAATGTCTAACTTCAACCAATCCACGAAGTTGCGCCACCGTACACCATTGTCTTCAGTGAGCTGATATCTCACAACAGACCTGGTTGAACTCCACTGGTAACGGCTTCTCACTAGAACTTCAGGAGTATCTCTTGAAGTCAGTCACTAGTGAGCAGATGATTATTATTATCAGAAGGGATTGTGTGGAGATTTTAGAAATTTCACTGGTTGAAATCATACAACTGTTTAAGCCAAAGTACGTGGAATGGTGTTTGAGTTTCAGAACTAATGTCTGAAAGTTGATTATTTTAATAAACAATACAAGAAGTAGGCTAGAGCACGTATTTAAACAAAGTGAAGTGTGTCTGTGGTGTCTCATTACCATGTACTCATTAACTACAAATAAAAACTTACGTAAGTTCGGACGACGAATTAAAAGCGGTGATATCAAAAACGTGAATACTGTTATCCATAAAGTATAATAAAGTGCAGAAACCTAAAAAAAATAACAGAAATTATACTTTACACCTACTCTGCTCTTTTCTCAAAGATATGTTCATTTTTTGGCTTGTACTGTAAAATCTGGGCACTACAACGAATAAGGGACAAGTGAATCAGTGAAAGGCAACTTACGACACAGTATAAGTGGAAACTGATCCAAGTTACCACAAAAAAACGAGAGGGAAAATCGACAAGATGAAACAAATGAAATGATTACAGCTACAATGGAAAACTGAACACAAGGAACAGTTCCAATCAAACAAATGCGACCAAAGAATGCAAGACTTGAAATGACACGGGTAGAAATATAAGAGATCAGAACAAACTTCAATAGTGAGACTTAACCTAAAATAACTCGCCTGAGGTATTCGACCATATTGAGAATATTCTGAGAGCTACAAGCTTGGAAATCTACATCCGCACACACAATTTAGTCATCATTGATATTCTCATGAACTGATGGTTTGGTTAGCCTAGAAAACGAGGCATATTAAAAGCAGTCGATCACTTAATCCTTACAAAGTACAAAAATGCTTAAGTTAACTTATCTGAACTAGCAAACAATATCACTATTGAACTTAAGATTGCAATTGAAACCAGATCAGCGGGTTGGTTGAATTAGCGCTTGATGAGATCTCGATACGAATGAACGAAAAGACAGCATGTGCTTCGTCAACTAACACTGAAAGTAGAATGGGTGGGATGTCTATTACTCAAGGACAGAGTATGTCATTCAGTCGTCCACTACATGGTTATGAACAGGCCTATCATACTATAAAATATACATAAGCCATAAGTATTTAGATCATAGGTGGCTTGGAAACATTGAGCACCAATTTGAAGCTAGTGATATTTACCTCTAACCTGGTTGCTAACAGTTTCGAGACATTTCCTTTAGTTGCCATGATCCAAGTAACCGAGATGTATAGATATCCCTTGTGCAGCAAATAAACCAAATAGCTTTCTACATGAATCTCTAACAACCTGTTCAATTAGAGTGTTATTTAATGTTTAAAAGTAATCCTCAAGCTGATACTTCGCCACTGTTTGTGGCAACAAGTCAATTATGTTTTGTACAATGATTGACCGTGGAAAGAACTCGTATGTCTACAGAGACTGATTAAATATATTCCTAAATACTAACAACATCAAAACACGGATTTTTACAAATGATGATTTACAGTCAATAATTTACTTGAAAATTTAGTATGTTATGTCTAAGTCACACATCATAAAAGTTCCGAAAATAAGTAGAGATTTGAAAATAACCCGATTAGACAAGGTTTACATAAAGAGACTTTTGTAACAAACTGAAAAACTATAATGAATACTAAAGTAGTTATTTATTATCTACAGAAAACAACAAAAACTGTGGTTTATTTATTTCAGGTGTTAATAAACAAATTATAATGAACAGAACAAAATTCAAAATAAAGTTCATTTTAGATCAAACCACTTGAACAATGGGATTCAAACCTACGAAATTTTAGCTACGTGGTGTACAAGAACTTAGTAAACTGAAAACATCGAATCTTAACATAGTGGATGACTAGTATTTGAATAATAACTGAAACAGATGCTATCGAAAAGGATTGTATGACTCCTTTAGATGTGGCAACTAAAATCCATATTGTTCAGTTTTTAGTATTAAAAAAGGCAGTTTAACACTCTGTGTTGTACACAACAGTAAGAATGAAATAATTTGTTTTGAACTTTTTTCGTCACACAAAACAAGAGGAAAATTTTATAAATTCAAAAAAGTACTGGTTAAATACCCGTTTGAATTTGTTTCCATTCTAAAAACTGTTAGTGCGTTATAGATTGGATTAAGACATGTTCTGTGCACGGTTGTATTGAGGCATACTGACTGACCGTTTCCTGGCGCTAGCGGATACTTAGAGAAGACTCTAGAATATTCGGTGGGGTCATCATTTATGGATGATCTTTGAGCGACATTGAAGTGACCTTGAGAATGCCCACATACTAACTAAGACTAAATGAGGGTTATAAACCAGTGTGAAGAATTAGAATTGATTTGCAATTGATGGTTAGCGTTAGGAATTGGATTTGGGGGTTTCATCACGAACTGACGTCAGCTTAAACGCCAAAACGCTATTTAGCCAAATGCATGAATGCATTTCGCGCCATAAATTATAGTCTCGCCGAATATTTATAAATACACCAACGTTTTCTTTATTGTGATTCCTACTTCCATTCGACCTTGTTTATTTGGATTATAATTTCATACCTGTTTAACCACGTTCTGATTTGGGGACTTGCCCAGTGAAACAATGTCCAAGAATACTAAGCAATAAAAGTGGATAAGTCGTAATAAGAGTTGATCACAAAACTATCAACCATCTATCTCATTGAGAAGTTCAACATAAAACAAACTGCTTCAGTCGACTGTTTTGTAATGTAGATTATCAGTCGAAACGCACAAAACTACTGAAGATACAGCGATCTGTGAATCCACAGAACAAGTGATCATACACATTTTCTATCATTAATCACCACATAATAGTGCAAGATATCTAATCCAAATAATCTTAACAAAGTGTAACTCCACCGATAGTATGACATACTATGAACAGATAAGTATACGCCATTTATGAGATGACCAAAATAACAACTTTTATTTTAGTAGACGATTCTCTCTTCCATTTCAATCATCTGTGATGAATGAACAATCAAACTAATCAAAAATGATCTGTTCGAACCACTGACTGGAAACCAAAGCTCTTTTTTTTCATTTCCTTATACGCTGTATTAGATACTCAGTGACCGGTCTTATTACTTTACTATAAGGTGAAATATTTACAATCTGTACAATAATAAAATGAAGTCATCACTTCGTGCTGTGTTCTGAAACTCATACGCCGTCGGGAATTATCTAGTAACGAGTGTTATGTGAAACATAGGGATTATCTCGAAGATATTCCACTACAATCTTCCATACTTGTGTACTCTTAGTCTCCGTTTTCATTGTTGATAGTCATTATTGACTTCCGACAAAGCGACCGGATGTCATTTACCATACCGAAGTCATTTTCTTTATAGACATGTTATTCACCATATATGATGTGAACAGGGAAACAAGAAACCCTGACAAACTACGAAAGCTATCTTTCGGGACGTTATTTCATTTTATTCAAAGCTTGTAAAACATTGACATTTATTTTTTTTCCCTAGTCTATTCTACAGGACATAAGCTTTCGTTCGATGTATCATTCACTGCCATACCCTTTTCTGTTCTGAAGCTATTGTAATTTAAACACAATATTTTGCACCCTATTTTCTACTCTAATTCCCAGCTTTGGACATAATTGTATTTTTCCTAATTATTGTACATTGTGGTCGGGTTATTCACCCATTTATTCATGTACCTTTTACTCTTATCTGAAGTCAGTGAAATCAGAATATCAGGAATAGAACGAATAGTGTTCCCAATCGTCTTGTCTTCTCTCATTCGTGTGCTTGTCCACCAATCAGATGACATAATAGTTTTCTTCTCTCTACCACATCACGAACTCGCGCGTACTAGTCTCAAGGTTAAGCCGATTAGCCTATTGCGTCAAAGTCTGAATCTAGATTAGAAAGTATCCTCGGCACAAAAAGTGGGTAGACAGATAAGGACACAACTGTCTGAGAAAAAGTTTCGTAAAAAGGAGAAGTCCATGAGTATTTTAGAAATATATTTCGCCACTTCCCCCATACCACAAATCAATACCCTTCGAGTGTCTTCTCATTGTATTTACTTCAGAATGTTGACAGATATTGCTTCATAAAGTATACAGTATATATTTTGGAATCACATTTCATTTCACATATTAATGTTCCTAAGACTTTTCGAATAAAACAAGAATTAATTTGTTTTACTGATAAATATAATTCGTCATAAACTTACAGAAACTGACATACTATTGGCAACCAAAAATTTCGATAGAAACCCAATAGGAAAAACAGCACGATTTCGAAGACTGAACGACTGAACAACTGTACGCTGATTATTGTTGACGTCCTTAAAATAAATATAAGGCAGAAGTAGGCGAAATTCAAACAAAAGGTAAACAAATTCGAATAGTCTACAGTGGCCAAATTGCACAACAGAATATCCGTTGTTAATGTGACAAGGTCTGTGTAAAAATACTTCAATGTCTGGGACTAGAATACTGATCACTAGTATATTGAATATCGTACTATTCGGAATAATCACGATACATGGTATAACAAACGAAACGGTGGTGCCATGCATTATTAATGGTTAAATTATAATTCCAGAAAAATCATTTACAACTATCTATAAAATATTATTTTGCAAAAACTGAACTTGATCGACTTCAACTACTCTGGGCATCTTAACAAAATCGCCACAACTCACTGTAGGAAGGGTTAGTGATGAAATATTCGTTCAGATAAGACAAATTGGCAGTATACGATGACATATCAGTGTAAACAACCTCACTCACTTTCTTGACATGTATAAATATTAATATAGTGAAAACCAGGATAAAACTGTTCACTGATTGCTCAACTGATGAGAATCCATAATACAGATCAACTTCGGATTATTTTCATACACTTTGTACTACGTAGAACAAGTCACTTGTTTGAGCAAACACACTGTACCATTTTGTCAATTATTAAAAAGCAGTTCAATAATCATTGATAATTCGACAATTGATTAGTGCACATGACATAATGTCACATAAAGTCATCTATAGCTCAATCAACTGTGGAATGACATTAATTGTACTATTTGAACGCATCTGTCTTACGTTTGGAGTTCTCATGATTTTCCGATTCTTAATTTTTCTAAAAGCATGATTATATAGGCTTTTACTAGCACTATAATGAGGATTGCATACCCTATGCACGAACCTATTTTCTAACACAATCTCTTTTTCGACTACTTTATGGCTGTTTACTGTCCGGACGTTTACGTTCCAATAACCATACTTTCAAAATAGTTTTTCACACTTCCAACCATCAGTAATTACTATCATTCAACAACGCATTAAATATGGAAGTCTGATGAAAAACGGGTAAATCATTCACTCACCCTAGCTGTGACTTCAATCACGTGAAATGAATACGGATTGGTTGACCACTGAGATGTATTCCATGGAAGTACATATAAAGGTGTTGAATTACCACTTTCAAGTGAATTAGCTGGTTCGGCGAATCCTTGATGAATGCCATCGATTGACACAGAAACTCTTAGAATAGGCGATAGTGACCAAACTAGAATTCTAGTCAAAAAATCCATCAACACATAGATAAAACTGTTTATTTCTTAAATTGAATAGTTAAGGCTTCCAGAAAAAAGCAATAATAAACTAATAGATGTCACTGCAAACCTACCAGTAAGACGTGATTAAACTTAATTTACCTGTTTAATAACGAATAATTAAGGTATTTTTAAGCAGAACATTGAAAGTTTGGACAGGCTTTAGATAAACTCATTCTGACTGAAGAAATAACTATCGTGTAGAGCGTTCAAACACTTAGGTAATAATTGATTACCATAATGAACGTATGTTACGAGATGGAGCAGTGAAGATTAGAAGGATTATTTAGTTTAGTGTAACTGATTCTTTAAACAAAGGTTCATGCATGCGAACACGGGTCACAGGCACTGTGTAAAGGGCTGCGATGCAACCTGAGTACGTAAATCACGGTTCAAACTTATGAACTGTTGGTTGAAAGGTGAGTATTCTAACTATTAAATCACAGTTTTAAGGAATATTGAAATACTTATTGTTTAACAAAATGACAATTCTTGTGATGAAGCCAGCATCCTGTAGGGCTTGGAACCTGTTGTTGAGAGCTATCTTAAATTCATTGAGTTTGTCAGTATCTCGAAGGAAGGCTGTATTGAACCTTTGCAGCGCTGTTTTTCCAGTTGTCCAGTTCTTCTTTAGCTTCAGTTTTAAATTGGCCACAACCAGGTGGTGATCTGAAGCTATATCCGCTCCTCTCCTGATTCTCACATCTTCCATTGTCCTTCGGAACTTTTTATTGATGCAAATGTGATCTATCTGGTTCTCTGTGATGTGGTCCGGTGAGATCCATGTTATTATTTTATTTTTATTTGAACACATAAATATTGGTACAGGGGGGCACCAAATATATATGCGCCACACAAAACAGTGATAATTAGAAGAGAAGGAGAAAAGAGAAAAAAAAAAGTAATGAACGTGGGGAATTATAAAAAAAAAAGGAAGAGAGAGAGAGAGAACAATGGTGGGGGAAACGGAAAGGTACAATCAGAACAGATCTTTCAGTTAAGGAAGAATACGACCACCTTTTTATGAAGAAAGTAAAAGAAGGTTACAGCAGGATCGCCACTGGCTTCTATTCTGAGCCATATCTGATAACGTCTCTAGCCACTGCGTTACACCATCTCTCGGACCCCAACCAGGGAGTCGTGAAGGACCAACATAAGCTAGCCCTTTGCAGCTTTCTTTCATACCACGACACCATGTCATATACTGACCACCTCTCCGCTTTTTCCAACCAGTCCCAGAGTCGGCAAATAATGGACGACGAGAAATTCTCTGGGACGACATTCGTAGAACATGTCCAAGCCACCGAAGTCGGTGTTTCAAGATGGTGACACCAATTTCATTATCGTCTCTGTGACCGAACACTCGATGCCGAACCTCTGCATTACTGACATGGTGTTGCCACTGGATGCCAGCAATCCTTCGGAGGCAACGATGATCGAACACAGAGAGTCGTCTAACATCCTCAACTCGGAGAGGCCAGGTTTCACAAGCATAGAGCAAAACTGCTCTCACCGTCGCGTTGTAGATCCGACCTTTTACAGCCAGACTAACATCACGAAGGCGCCAAAGATGGCCCAGATTGGCATAAGCCGCTCTGGCTTTCACTATACGTGCATTGATCTCATCACTCACGCCACCACCAGCACTTATGCAGCTACCTAGATACACGAACTTCTCGACTACTTCTATCTGCTCACCATCCAGAGTGAGTACAGGATTAGAATCCTGCCAGTCTTGTAGAAGTACTTTGCACTTCGAAGGTGCAAAGCACATACCATACCTACGGACATTGATTGCCAACTGATTAAGTGCGGATTGCATGGCTTGGGCATTCTCGCACAGTAAGACAATATCATCCGCATACTCAAGGTCGAGAAGTCTTTCTCCAGGCAACAGATCCACACCACCATTACTTACATCCGTCAGAGCTGTTTCCAGAATGTCATCGATGGCAAAGTTGAAGAGGAATGGTGAGATTGGGCAACCCTGCCTAACTCCACTGCTTGAATGGAATAGTGGAGAAAGGTGGTTGTATGCCCTCACTCTACCTGAGGTGTTTGTATATAAGGCTTTTAGGATGTTAATAAACTTCTCAGGCACACCCCTCTTCAATAGACAATCCCAGAGAACAGTTCTGTCCAACGAATCGAAAGCAGCCTTGATATCAAGAAACACTACGATTGTTGGCCTTTGATAAGTATGGCGGTGTTCTAACACTTGGCGGAGGGTGAAGATATGATCAATTTATCCTCGACCAGAACGAAACCCAGCCTGCTCCTCGCGAGTCAATCCTTCTCGGGTTCTGAACAACCTACGAAGTATGACGGAAGCCAATAGCTTGGACGCAATCGGAAGTAGACTTATCCCCCGATAGTTGTTACAGGAACAACGTGAACCCTTTTTAAAGATAGAGACAACTATCGACTCATTCCATGACGTTGGTACACTCTCTAGTTCCCAGATCTTTGTAAACAACGTCGTCAGTCCTTTAGTCAGAAAGTCACCACCATCTTTAAAAAGAGCCGGGGGTAAGTCGTCTATGCCTGGTGATTTGTAACGTTTCAAGAGTTGGAGTTCCTTGCGGACTTCCGCCTCATTTGGTGGATCAGTCGTCACCGGCCAAGGAGGGCAGGACAGTCTGACCGATGTTGCCGGAGCAGCAGGCCAGTTGAACTGCCCTTCAAAGAATTCTGCCCATCGTCCAAGACGTCGATGGATGTTAGTGATTGGCGTTCCGTCATCCTCGCAGATTGTTTCGCTCACACCAGACTTCTTGCTGCCGGTGGCTCGAATGAGTTGGAAGAGCTTCCGGTAATTACCAGATGCAGCTGCTGCTTCCAACTCACTGGCACGCTCCGACCACCAGGTTTCTCGGTCCTTACGCAAGCTTTGCCCGATTTCATTACGTAACAACCTTCGTCTGTGGTCAAACTCACGGTCACCCGGAGTAGACCGACGGGCTTCAATCAGTTGTAAGGAACCAGAAGAAACCCAGTGCTTGTAAGCGGGACGTTTCGCAATCCCACAGCTGACTTGACCCGCCATTTTCATGGCGTCATGCAATTGCAACCAATGCTCATCTATACTTTTCGGTGGAATAGTGGCTAGCCTAGAAGCTAGCTCGGCTCGGTACTTACTAGCAACAGAAGTTGCAGCCAGCTTGCTAACATCAATCCTGTGGTGGCGGTCACTTCGTTGTCCACTGAAAAGTAAGGTAAGATTGGCGCAGACCAGAGCATGATCAGATTCCAGATAGGTACTCCAAAAGGAGCGGCAGTCTTGTACACAACCGCGCCAGCGGTAGCTGATCGCGATGTGATCAATCTGAGTCCAGGCTTGAGATGCAGAAGGGGGACGCCAGGTGGCACATCGGCGATGACTGTGCCGAAAGTTAGTGCTAGCCAGAAACAGGTTGTGGTCTGTGCATAGTTGCAGTAGACGTTCCCCGTTATCTGTCCTGCGACCAACGAGTCCCCATCGGCCACCTAAACGACTCTCTTCTGTGCCTAGACGCCCGACCTGAGCATTCAAGTCTCCAGCTAGTACTACAATATCTGTCGAACGCACTTTCTGGAGAAGAACAGTTAACTGGTGGTAGAACTCATCCTTGATTGCATCCGGGCTGCAATCTGTCGGGGCATAGGCGGAGATGACGAAAAGACATCGTTTCTCACGCCGATTTCTTCTCACTCTGATGGTACTTTCTAATCTAACAGCACATAACCGACTGTTAATGGGGATCCAGTCGACTAGTGCTGCCTCAGCTCTTGCGCTTAGTGCGACACCAACGCCAGCAAGACCAGACGAAGATGCCACAGGGTCCCCGGATAAACGCACGTAAAACAAGCTTTTTGGAGCGACAGATGGAGAGCGAACTTGTAGTACTTCACCAGAGTCTTGAATACGGGTCTCGGATAGACAACACACATCAATATTAAGACTTTCCAAAGACATTGCCAGCCCTATCTGTTGTCCGACCTGCATAAGTGTGCGAACGTTAAAGGCAGCCAGTTTGAATGGTGCGCGTGGTTTCAGAAAGACTGCTTCAGTACTCTTATTCGATGGTAACATACAATTTTCAAACCAGGCAGTGACTCGAGAACGTTTAGATAAAGCTGAATTTTTACCATAGGCGAGCTGCTGTCTGAGTCGAAACGGATACAAAAAGTAGAAATAGGAGATAGTGAGTAAATGACGTAGTAAATAATAATAATAATAACAATAATAATAATAATAATAATAACAATAATAATAATAATAATAATAATAATAATAATAGTATCAGTCATTTCAATGTTAGTCAGAGAAGGACGAATATTTTCCGTAAGCGAATATTTCATCATGTTTTGGTGTGTGGGCTGAGATACTGCCCGGGTGCCCAAACCGAAGCAGGTGGTTTTCTTAGGGGGCCACACCCCGAGCCTTTGACCTAAAGGTCTAGTCCACAAGGCAGTGGAGCATCGTGAGGAGATGCAGTCCCATGGAAGCCGGTGACCAAAAGTTGGTTCATACGCCATTTGTTCCTTCAGGATACTGGAGCCCATGTGCACCATAGAATAGAATTGGGATCCGGTTATAGCGCCGGACGTTCGCTTTTCGTCCTCTCATTTTCGTAAACAACACCCCCGCCACGAGAAGGCAGTGAGTAGGACTTCCCTGGCAGAGGCTGTATACGCGTGGCCGTGTGAGAGTATTTCGAGAGGGAGGGCGAACCCTCCCCGCTCTCGGCCATACCAGGGCATTTGGGGGCTAGTGGAGTGGGTGGACGGTGTTGGAGATCCATGTAGCTTTGTGTATACGTTTGTGTGGAAATATTGTGCCGCCTATGACCAATTTGTTGAATGCACACAGATTTGCGAATCTTTCCCCGTTTTCGTTTTTCTCTCCCATTCCATGCAGCCCCATGATATCTTCATATCCGGTGTTGTCTATTCCGACTTTGGCGTTTAGGTCGCCCATCAGAATGGTGAGGTCCTTTCTTGGGCACTTCTCTATGATTGATTGCAGACTCTCATAGAATTGATCTTTAATGTCGTCGTTGCTATCATTGGCGGGTGCATAACATTGGATAATGTTCATTGCGATCCCCTCCTTTGTTTTGAATGATGCTTTGATGATTTTGGATCCGTGAGATTCCCATCCTACAAGTGCATTTTGTGCTACTTTGGACAGCATTAGAGCAACTCCTTGAGTGTGTGGAGCATTTTCCTCTTCGTGATCGGAGTATAGCAGCATCTCTCCCGTATTTAGCCTTTGTTGTCTAGCTTGGGTCCAATGGGTTTCGCTGATTCCGAGTACTGCCAAGTTGTATCTCCTCATTTCCGTTGCTATTTGGCTGGTCTTCCCGGTCTCCCACATTGTCCGGACGTTCCATGTACCTATAAAAATTGTTGCTCTGGTTGTTAGAAGGGACATCGAACTCGTGACTTCCGAAGGGACTCGGCTTTCACCATGAGGTGTCATATTTCTTTTAAATGAAGACCTTCTAACTCCAAGGGCAGAGTTCAAATGGTTTGAGTTATTTTTTAGCGAGTAAGTTTTCTACGGGATAGGGACGCTAACCCCATGCCCAACCCTCCTCCTTTACCCGGGCTTGGGACTGGCAGTAACTCTAGGAGAGCTACAGGCGGAGTTACGCTGCAACTTGGAGAACTAATACAACTATCATCAAAAACATGCAGGTACTTAAAACCAATTATCTACAAGATGCTCAATATCACCATCAGCAACAGCTCACTGTGGGAGAGAGAAAATCAGAAAAAGACGCTCGATGAAGATAGGACATAAATTGAGGAAATCATCAAACTGCATCGCAAAGCAAGCATTAACTTGGAATCTTGAAGGGAAACGGAAAAGAGGAAGGCCAAAGAACACACTGCGCCGAGATTTGGAAGCAGACACCAAAAGGATGAATAGCAACTAGAAAGGATTGCTAAGGACAGAGTTGGATAAAGAATGATGGTGGAAAGTCTATGCTCCTCCGCGAGGGGAAACGGGCGTAAGTAAGTACCTTTTCAGTTAATGGACAGCAAGTAACTTACCAACATAATTAGAAAATTTACACATCCTCTGATCTCTATTGCCTTTGCGAATTCATTTCAGACATTGGTTTATATATTGAATAAAACAATGCTATAATTATATATCACAACATTGATTGGATATTTCCCTTTACTTATCAAAGTAATATGGTTTACTATGTCTGTGTCGAAATAAAACAGAACTAACAATATAACCTTCTACTTGATATTCGAAAAATCCCAGTTTATATATTTTAAACAGTAAACTATTTAAGGCTTGAAATTTAAACTCCATGTAATAGTTATAACTCAAACAATATTCATATATCAGTCATTTGAACTGTAAAACTAGAGTAGTTTATTTTTATTTTTTCAAATAAACATTCTACTATTTGCATACTTAGTATAACAAACCTTTCACTTATGTGGTCTGACTTATTATTTATTTAAACACATAAACATTGATACTAAAGTGCACCAAAAATGGAGTCGAAAAATTAGTTAACATTAAATGTGTGTGTAGTCTGGGATGCTGTCCTAGTACCTAAACCGAGACAGAACTGAATTAAAAATATTGGACTAGACTAGTTGATTTACACTTTGAAATATTTCTCAATTTGTACCTTTACTTCACGCACAAAACTATTATCCAGATGAGTGATACAGTTAAATTGGATCATAGTAATTTATTCCTTTCAATTTTAAGATGGTTGCAGGTCTAAATATAAGTGGTGAATATAATTCATATATCGTGCATAACTTATTGCTTATGAGGCTGCGGTTTGGTGGGTAAAACACCTTTAACTATAAACCTTAGGGTGGATGTTTTGAATTCACTCAGTTAGTCTCGATTTCGACAATCGGGAGCAGGATCTTCAGTCCTCACATGAAATAATTAGCTCAAAGAGTATACTTGGTCAATGGGCTGCACAAGTGTAATATCTAGCTAATTTACATCTGCATGGCAAGATTAGTCGGTATTGTTCCAGCTTCATACTACAATGAAAAGTTACGGATTGTCATTTTTTCAAATTTGCATTGATTTCATATTTTACCTAAAATAAGGGCAACTACAGATTGTTTGTTAGCAAACGCACTTTTAATTGTGTTAATAACAATCATAATAATTACCACTATCATATTGGCGGTTATGAAATCACTACCAAAAGAAAGTTAAAAGCTTTTCACTATGCTTCTAAATCAACAAATTAATATTGAAAACCCCATGTCGAGTTTTCGAGTGCTCAGGGAATAACTGCGGTATTTACAACCCCAGGTACGCTTAGAAACATAATGCATCACTTCAAAATCTTATTCGCCTAAGTAAGCTCTTACAACCTCTTTGTCGCATAGTAAACTTGCTAAATGCAGTATTGTAGAGTCCATGGATTCTAATGTATCGGCATCTCGTTCTATCAGAAGATATAAAAGATGTGAATGGAGTAACTAAGAAGTATGCTGTATATGCATCAACGACAGACGATGTATACAATGTAATTAAACTCTTAAAAATCAATATTAATTACCTTATGTGCGTAGAAAACTCGATCCTGTGGAATGGTTCTTTTTTTGGAAGTAAAAAGTTAGCGTTTTTAGGATTTGTGATTAAAATAATAGGCCATTCTTTGCTTGAATTATTAAGCGAGAATTTCCTCACATCTACAAACGACACTAAATCGTTGTCAACAGCTACAATTCTGTAGCTGGAAATCAATAAAAAAGGGACACGAAAATGCAATATACACATGAATCATATATACACAAATTAATTATAACAGGTCCCAATAAATATTCAAACTCCATTACATGACAAACGAGTTCATAACAAGTAGCATGATGTGATTCGTCAAGTCAGATAGTTATTCAACGGACTGGTATGATTAGTTTGTGGAGAAAAATATTAGAGTCCTACTAATAACAAAATAACACTAAAGCAAATTAGATAACCACATGGCTCAAACTCTAAACTGGGATCAATAGACAAAGCATTACAAATCGGGTAAGACTGACTTAAAGCTCCATTCTATCTTGAGACTTCTTAACAGCGTGTAACCTTACATAATATCGAATATATGATGCTCGGATTTAGCAGTAAGTACCTATCTAAGTTAAAGGATAAGCCTATTACCTAAATAATGTTATATTACTGTAATGTGATATGCACCTATGGACTGATGACGATGTTTAGGAGAAAGTAGTGGAGTTGCGTACAATAAAAGATGAACGTTTGATTGATTGTATGACAAAGTGATGCTAAAACCGACAGCAAGAAATACCTCAGTCATAGTGCCCAAGTACAAAAACAATACAACAGTAGAAATAAAGAAAACTTATTCTGGTAATGCTATATGATTCAGTAGTTTGCTCAGGATTTCCTTACTGTGACATTTTATAACTGATTTCCATGGGCGGAAATATACATTCTCATTGGATCTGCATAGTGACTATGCTATTGCTAATGGTAAGCATTCTACCTATTACTTAGGTCTTATAAACCCACATAATAATTCAATGTATATTCGTAAAGCTCCGGAAAGTAGTACCGTTGAAACCAGTGCTTACCCTAAGAATTGATGCATAAGTTTTTTTGCTTTACACGACTCTTCTTGTTATACACTTCTGGTTAAATTCCTTAACAGTCTTAGCAACAAAGTGGTTAACAACATTGCAATAATTTAGTTGTACGGTTCAACATCACAGAACACGAGTATGTAAATTAAAAAAAAGGGAAACGCAATAATGAGAAGTAAAACACATAACTTACTAACGATTTTCACGCCAATCACCTAATTCCCATTCCCAATATCCTTGAGGCTGTAAAAAATACATCTTCTTAGCCAATCCAAACAACGTATGTAAATGACCGCATAAATATGCAAATGCACTATCTCTGCAATAAAGAAAATGCGCATAGCATTTATGAGAAACTGTGTTCTGAATCAAAATTCAGATATACAAATTGGATTTAATTAAAGCATAGTTCGAGTATTTCCTACGACCCATATCCAACATACTTGTTAACAACTAATGGATAAGAAAAACAATTAGCCATTAACTTGAAATTTAATAATAATAAAATATGTATAGTTGCCTTATCTACTACATGTATTTCTATTCTAGTGAACACATGTTGGATATTTTGAACATAAAAAACGCGAAATGAGAAAAAATCATGTAAGAGATTATTGGTCTGTATATTGATATAATCCTGAATATTAAAGATTAGACTATTTGTATTTGTTTCTCATGGAAATATAACTAAAAACGATTTTGAAGTAAATTATTCACAGTACTTCAATATTTACATTTATTACAGAAAGAGCTCAACACGTAGACCCTGGAAAGCTACAATTTATTTTAGTCAATAATCACAGATCATGAGCGTGAGCAGAAAACCTCAGTACAAACAATATTACTATTAATCAAACTGATCAAAATTTACATATATAATGACTTCTCTATACTCGGCGCCCAATATCTGTCAAACTATTCGTTCTAATCTTGACGAATATTCGTATAAATTATTTTCCAATCGAATTAAATTATCAAAGAAAATACATAACTGATCAAAATTTAGTTTTGAATATAAACAACAGGATAACACGAACTCATAACGAATAAACACCATACACAATGAACAAGTTAGTGGCCATTTCGAATCAGCAGATTAATAGAGAATGAGCTAGCCTTGCAAGAGATAGTTACAAAGTTAGACTCACTATGTGAACATTTGGAAAGGAACTAAACTACTTAAAGAGCTAATTAAGAATAACCGAATTTTTCGCAAGAAACGCTTTACAGTATGCCTTTCTACGACAAGTTCTTTAAGTTTCACGTTTGCCAACGAACCAAACACTTTTACGCCTAGATACTTTTAAAGTTTACAGTGAATTACTGAAAATAATGAGCTGTGAAATACTGACCTAAGTGTTTACGGTCAGGAATATGATAGTCCTGTAATTAAGTAATTCAAATGCAAAAGAACTGATTAATAAAATAGCTGATTACGCTTGCAACTGGAATTGTTGTGAAACTTTGCTCGAAGTGGATCTAGCAACAATAACCATTCCGGTGCAACAAAAAGTAATCATATTAACCTACAAGTTGGCTCATGAATAGCTTTCGACGTCCAGCTACATGGAAAAGGGCAATGCGAAAGAACGTGTTTATTGCCAAGAAAACCTATGCGAAAGTGAGAAAACTATGTATTCTTTGATGAATTCTTTAACCGAATGAAATTTAAAAAGTGTAAATACCGATTATTTTTGGTACAGTTATATACCAACAACTTAAAGTCGAATGATATAAAACCTACCCAATCATTGTACCCAGATTAGAATCACTTGAAACAACCGTGGAAGTTGGATAATGTCCAAATACAAATGTCTGATTACTATCTTTGGCTTCATCAATCGACTTTAACAACTGTCTTTTGACATTCTGTGATATTAGGTTAAATGTTGATAGAACATAATAAAAGAAAATATGAACAGTTTACAACAAATCAAAAATATTACAAACATATCATGTTTGCTAAAACTAGTGAATCAGTTATATACAACGTGGAATCCAGAGTATCAGTCACAGTACCTCATATAAGCACGATATATATATTTAGCATATTATGTACTGGATACGGTAAACTGCGTTACCCGTAAAAAAATACTGACCATTAACATTAGTGCCACACCATTCCTATGAATGCTGTACAGTGTGAACTATGCGTCACACATCTCGAGAGAGGACATCACGTGAAAACTAAGGAGCTAAGGTATTGAAGTTTGGAACGACACCACGAAAACGTTCTATTTGGAAACACTACAACTGGCAATTATTGTTATTCATTAGATAATCTATAGAAAGAACCAGCAAACAACAAACAAACGGTATGCTAAATTTTCCGACCAGGAATCACTGTTAATAATCTACACAAGTACCACGAGATGCAATACACAAAGATTCCAAATATCACACTTAGCCCATGTGCTAGATTTTATACGGCCTTTACAATCCAAAAGTCCAAATAAACAATCAAACTACTATTAAATCCATAAAAGCGTGAGACAAATGGAAAAAAATCCAAACACTCTGTAACAATTACATGGAGTCATACAAATATGGGGATTTATGGGGAGGTTAAGGGTTTGTGAGCGAGACCGAAGGTACTGGGTTCGAGTCCCGCGTCAGGGATTGTGGTTGGGCACTGCTGAGTCCCATACTAGGAAGAAACGGTCCTTCAGCGCTTCCAGGTTTTTAATGACGGTACAGCTTAGATTGACTCGTGAATTCAACTGTTGAAATCATGCGCTTGAACGCCTTCAACTAATCATGAAGTTCTTTAAAATGGACTGGTATGGTTCACAGATGCAAAACTCTTCAGTTAGTGTTTTGGTAAGCAACTTCCAACCTATTGACAGTGGCCTCAGTATGGCCATTAGGAGTAGAGGATATTAGCAGGTTACTGATATTCGATTATCGGTGCCTACGAGGCATTTCTCGTGTATTTTGGGATCACGGAGTAAGCGATACTTGGGTCAGAAATAGAGTACCAGGTAAAGATGGGAAATCGATCGACGAGATAGTAAGTCTTCATCAACTGATGTGATTGGGATGTGTAACGTATTACAACCACCGCCTACCTCACTTTGAGCTTTGTTTATGACTACTACGGAAAACAAGAGCGCTGACAAACACTTAGAATCGTCGCGAAGAAACCTAGTTCACAATTCGACCAGATTTGAGGTGATAATGGTACGGTTTCATATAAAACGCATTCTAGTGAGTTAGTCGGTCTATTTCATGCTACAATACAAGTTGCCAAATATCATAAATGTATAAACCGAATAGTAATGATGTCTAGTAACAGATACAACTTACCAAGTTAAAACTACCGAAAAAATTAAAAGGCCATTTCAATCCAGGTTCAGTGGACAAATCAATACTTATAAAGGAATACTGACCATATGGTTTTACTAGTTTGAATATGTGTGACTTTAATGAAGATCCGCCCCTTACACCAAATTGACTGAAATAACAAAGAAAAACACAAGACATTTTACTTATTACGTTGAATCATGTCGATAAATTTGCCACTGTTCTTATTTTACACAAGATACGTCAAAAAATGCAAATACTCTAATGAGATAATCAAGGAATTTCAAGACTGCTATAACAAGACTTGAGTAGCAGAGTCTGATACAAAGGATTCACCTGGCTGGTAACTTATACTTCAATTCATTTCGACAAAAGAAACCAGATAGCAGGTAGTACCGAGAGCTTTACAAGACTATCAGACGAATTACGGTGATTCCGAAGTCAATAGTAGTCAAACATAAACTACTACGTTGTCCAAATTTGTCTAAATAAAGCAGCTTAACACCACCGATCAGTGAATTAAATGAGGAAATCACTAAGTTAGTACGGCTATTTCAGTTACAAATTGACAAAAGACGAACAAACTATTATACCACCAATGAGTAATGACAGTCTGTGATTTACCTGTAATAATCACCATAACCACCAAATGATGGAACGTCAAAACTATCTAAAGGAATATCAAAGTGATGATTAAATCTAACCATGATTCCCCCGTACGTCAAGCCACTTAGTTAGATTTAGTACTCCAGATTGATTCAAAATTGACGAATAATCCCTCCATTCTTCCAGATTTTGCAAAGATAACGAGAACGTCTTACCCTTGCCATCAGTGATATCACCTTATGCAAATAAATTCTAGTGAAACAATATACCTGATGCGATTACGACTTCAGGTCGAATCACAGGAATGTGTGTAGAACAAAACTCCAAGAAGTCCATCTGTCTGTCTTTAGAACCGAACTTGCTAAAATGCAAATCTGTGATCTTAAAACTCCATACAAGTAGTAAGTTTATCTTACATGTACGAACCAGAAAATATTATGAGCACCACCATCGACGACCATATCATTATGAAATAAAGATCTAACTTCGAAGGCGACTGAAAATCTTAAAGACAGCGAATTGATGAAAATGCAACACCAGCATAATACTAATATGGAGAAAAAGACGGAAGACCATCCCAATGACATTTATTAAGCTTGGAGTTTGAATTGCCACCTTTTTCATCTCCGCTATCGTGGCTACTTGCCTTGAATTTAGATCCGAAATTCAAATTAACATTAACGACAGAAGAGCTGCATACTACGTTATTCTTTGTCTAGTGTGTCTCTATGAGTGTCTTATATTCTCTTGAATGGGTCAACTGAACGTGAGGATACCACTGCTTTGGGTGACACTGTTTGAAGTATTTGTAGTGACCTACGCACCACTGAAACAGGTAGCCCTCACAGCAGACAAAATTCTAGCTAGGACTGGCAACCGAGAAAACTACGTAGTTGCCTCAACGTCGCATCCGAAAGTCGAAATCGACGGCAGCCACTCCTCGGCTCAAGGTGACAGGGGAGGGAGTACTCACACACGTCTTAGTTTTCGAGACCGTTGTAACGTACCCCGACCTTACGTCCCTCGAACCCGCTCACACTCTCGAAAAGCCGTCAACATTCGCCCAACGAGGGAATCTTCCAAGCCACGCCAAAAGGAGGCTTCGGAAGCGAGTGAGGGTTGGTGCTGGTTTCATCGATCCTTCGGATCTGGTGCCCGCCGTTGTCGAGCCCCGTGCTCATACAAGGCGGGAAACTCCAAAGACGGCGAGTAAAAGCGGCCGTACTCGCCGGCCCTGCCTCCCAGGTTGGCCGTTTATTTTACGTGCACGATTATCGCACAAACGCTAGGTACCTAGTCGATACGGGTGCCCAAGTTGCTGTCGTACCACGAGGTAGCATCGAGTCACCAGCTACAATGCTTCGACTACGCGCTGCAAATGGCTCAGCAATTCCTACCTACGGTACACGACAACTCGCAGTCAACCTGGGCAACCGACGACGGTATCTGTGGACGTCCATCATTGCTGATGTTCCCACAGCCATACTAATTATTGATTTCCTACAGCATTATGAATTGCTAGTCGATTCACGTAGGCTGAAGCTAATCGATACTTCGTCGAACAGTAAATTCATGGGCTTTAAAGCTCACACAAACGCGTACCGAAAACTCGGCACTTTTTATTCGCGTGACGATAAATTCCACGCTTTATTCGAGAAATTCCCCAGAATAACTAAACCACTCGAGGAGATTTCATCGGTGACCAATCGTGTGGTACACCACATAGTCACCCGCGGACCACCAGTCACGGCAAGACCACGCCGACTGGCACCGGACAAATTAGCCTTCGCAAAACGTGAGTTTGACAATTTACTATCTACTGGCATTATTCGTCCTTCTCACAGTCCTTGGGCCTCTCCTTTACATATGGTGCGCAAAAAGGATGGGGTTAGTTGGAGACCATGTGGCGACTACCGAGCATTAAACGTAGTCACGCGCTTTGATAGCTACCCCATCCCCTACATACACGACATCACGGCATCGCTCAAGGGCAAGACTATCTTTTCTAAAATCGATCTGTTACGAGCATATCACCAGATCCCAGTCGCTCTTGAAGACATCGAAAAAACTGCTATCATGACTCCTTTCGGTCTGTTTGAGTTCTTACGAATGCCATTTGGATTACGGAATGCTGCTCAAACTTTCCAAAGGTTTATCGATAGCATAGTACGAGACTTGGATTTTGTTCACGTCTATATTGATGACCTGCTGATCGCATCATCAAACGTAGATGAACATTATCAACACCTTACGCTATTATTCCAACGTCTTTCGGATAATGGAATAGTAGTCAACCCAGAGAAATGTGAATTGGGTAAACCAGAAATAATATTTCTGGGTCACATCATCAGACAAGAGGGTATTCTGCCTTGCGAGGACAAAGTTCGAGCAATCAAGAAGTACGACGTGCAGTCCTCACTCAAGGTACTGAAGGCTTTTCTCGGTTTGGTTAACTTCTACTGACGTTTTATCCCTCACGCGGTAGAACGGTTACGACCATTAACCGATTTACTACGCGGTAATCCACGCAAATTAGAATTGAACGATATCGCACGCACTGCATTTTCAGAGATCAAAACGGCTCTCGCTGAAGTTACACTTCTCGCTCATCCTGACCCATCAGCCACGCTTAGTATAGCGGTTGATGCATCAGATTTTGCTATAGGAGCCGTCATGCAACAGAATATCTCCGGTAGTTGGCAACCTCTTGAATTTTTCTCACGACGCCTTACTCCCACGGAGACGAGATATAGCGCTTTTGGTCGCGAACTGCTGGCAGCCTACTGCGCCATCAAACATTTCCGGCGCGCAGTAGAAGGACGCCAATTCATCTTATTCACTGACCATAAGCCCTTAACGTATGCCCTGCATACCAAGTCTGACCGCTACTCACCACGAGAGTGCAGATATTTGGACTATATCTCCCTGTTCACGTCAGACCTTCGTCACATTAAAGGCGAGTCGAACTATGTTGCCGATGCTCAATCACGTATCCAGACGAATGCAGTTACCTTACCGGTGCTCGATCTTCCTGCTATGGCCGCCGCACAAGCAAACGATCCTGTCTGTACAGAAGCACCACAATCTTCGTCCCTTCAGTGTCAGGAAGTACCCATAGCTACTAGCTCAGGTACTATCCTATGTGATATTTCTAACGGTCTTCCTCGACCCATCGTACCCTCTACCTATCGCCGTCTCGTCTTCGATGCCCTTCATGGATTGTCTCATCCAGGTATCGCAGCCACATCACGTCTCATCGCTGCACGATACGTCTGGCCGTCCATTAATAAAGATGTTCGTATGTGGGTAAAGCAATGTTTACAGTGTCAACGATCAAAAGTGCACAGGCACGTAGCTACCCCCATTGGCACGTTCGCTACGCCTGATGTTCGCTTTGATCACGTTCATATAGACATTGTAGGACCATTGCCACCATCGCATGGGTATGATCACATACTCACGTGCATTGACCGTTTTACAAGATGGCCCGAAGCTATTACCATCACGTCTATCACGGCGGAGACAGTTGCTCACCGCTTCGTAGAACGATGGATAGCATTGTACGGTTGTCCCTCGACTGTCACGACTGACCGAGGACAACAATTTGAGTCCGCATTATTCTCCTCACTGACCCGGCTGCTTGGTACGGAACGCATACGCACTACCGCCTATCATCCAGCATCGAATGGTTTAGTCGAAAGGTTTCATCGCCAACTTAAAAGTGCTCTTCGAGCACACGAAAACGACAATTGGTACGAAATCTTACCGCTCGTTCTCTTAGGCATCAGAACGAGTTGGAAGGCAGATATCCAATGTTCCGCCGCTGAACTTGTATACGGCACGACATTGCGTCTGCCTGGGGAATTCTTCACACCACGGAGCAGTAATGATTTCGGTAAATCAGACTACGTCCATCGACTGTCTGCATTTATGCGAACGCTGTCTCCGGTGTCAACTCGAATACAACATCGACAGGTCGCTCTACCTCGAGAGTTATCTACCTGTTCACATGTTTTCATACGAGTAGATTCGGTACGCAGACCTCTACAACAGCCTTACGAATGCCCTTTTCACGTGATCTCTCGTCACGAAAAGACCTTCAAGGTTGATCGACACGGCCGCGTCGAGATCGTCAGCATTGATCGTCTCAAACCAGCACACGTCGATGACAGTGCCCTACCCGATAACTTGAGACTCAATGCTAGACCTATCAAACCTTCTAGCGGGATCTCTACGTCTACCTCGGATCCCACGCTAGATACATCAGAGACCTCGTTCTCACGTCCCGATCAACAGCACGCGTCATCTGCACCATCTACGGACGAGACTTCCGTCTCACGTCCAGATCAGCAGACCACGCCGCCCTTGACCTCGGATGAGATCGCAGGCTCACCAAGTACGAACGAGACCACCGTCTCACGTTCCGGTCCCCGAGTACGATTACCCGTACGCTTTCGCGACTAAACGCACGGTCAATAACAGATACGGTGTAGGATTATTCCTATACTACACGCATGCTACACTTTTTTTGTGTCCTGAGCCCACGCCTCCGACCATCGCCCGTTCGGTAACGTCGACTTCAGTTAACTTTGGCAAAAGCTGGTTTGGCCACCCACGCTCTAGTCAACGCACTCAGTCGATTATCTGGTCTCGAATTCGCCTGGCATACGCTTGGTCTTTATGGTCGGGCCCGGTTTCTTGCCTCAACGTGGTTTCATCCTACGTCTGCAGCGTTTCCTGGTTCGCATCCCTACGAACGCAATCATCAGATCCTGGATACAAACCACTCTGGTGTGGTATGCTAATTCGACCAACAAATACAGCACACTTCTCCTGGTACCGTTCTGCGCAAAAGACTTTCGTTGGCAACTCGAGGATCAACGATCACTTCCTGTTCCGTCAATTTCCTCCGTCCTACAACCGCACTTCTGCCGATCAGTCCCACGAATCAAACCGCTAACTATCGAAAGTGTAAACCCTTTCTAGCGGAGGGCTCCTGTAGTGACCTACTTTTGTCAACAGAACGCGATTGGTTCGATGAAAACAATTATTATTATTATAACCCATTGTACCAGTGATTGTTTTATTGTGCTCGTTTGTTTAACTGTGCTAATAATAGCCATATTGGTCTTCCATGGTACTCCATTACTTCTACGCGGTTTTCGACTACGCACGCACCTTTTCTTGCCGATCGCATCTGAACTCCTTTGGCACGATCTCGGTATTCTTTCGATACCTCGAGATTGCCAACAAATATATTACAACTACTACTATCATCTGCTTTCTGATTTTTGGCCTACCGGATTCTTATTGGTATATTGGCACGTAGTCTTGTAGCGGTGTTCATAGTCAAGCTCAACTGGACACCACGCTACAAATTGATCACTCGGGCCGAAATCTGGTATGCCACGAATATTTTGTTTGTTCTTGGGTTTCTACTAACCTGTTATGTCCTTCAGAATGTCCAGAAGTCGTGGGAAGAAAAGGAGATCATTTATTGGATCCGAAATCATTATTTAGTGTTCTATAAAATAAAAGCAGATCACATAATCTGAGGTACGATAGAGTAAACCGGTCTGTCTCGCAA